AGCAGGAATCTGTTCCCTCTCTGTGGACCTGCGATCAGCCTCTGAGAAAGGTTTCTTCTTCAGCATCTCTTGACTGCCAGTGCCAACTGACTGGAACAGGACTTGTGCTTAGAAAACTTGTGCTTTATGGAATTTCAAAAAAAAAAAAAAAAAGTCCTATGCATGCAATGAAGCAGCAGCCGGGTGGGTACTGGAGGGGTGAGCTGGTATCACTGCTCGGAGAATTGGCCTACCAAAAGACTTCACAGTGACTTTGTTCCAGGGGAGCCAGGAGGACAGTTGAGCCCAGTGCTGGCATTACCAAGGGCTGGAAGACACAAGCCATAACCCCGGTGCTGAGTATTAGACTTGCTGGTGTCTCTGGCCTCAGAAAGCCTGTCTAGTCTGTCTGTTTGGGTCCCAGTTCAGATAAAAAAAGATGATAAAAAACATCATACATCATTTCTTAGTCACCAGCTTTGGATTTCAACTTGCTCAGGCAATTTGGGGGAATATTACATAGCTGCAGTAGCTGTTACCACTCCATGCTGAGCACTGTGCCAGGCTTCTTACCACCAAAGAGCCCCATAGCTCCAGCTGCAGAGACCAAAAATATTGTTTGTTTATTTGTTTGTTTTTAGCGAGAGACACTTATGATTTTGGTGAAGGTTAAGAGTAATGGGGAAGAATTATTAAAACTGGAAACCTGCAGTTCCAATGACAACAAAACTACAGACAGTAGAAAAGATAGCAGGCTACTGAAACACCCTGGAGGGGACAGGACCAGGTTGTCCTCTGCAGGGCCACATAAATCACTTGGCCTTCCGGGCCTTCAGTAGAGAGAAGCAGCATCTGTTTCTGGGGATATGAGCGAGATAAGACAGTGGACCGGTCCAGGCCGAGCTGCTGTCCTCAGTACCCCTGACTTCTCTGTGTGCATCCCTCTGTTTCTTCTCTCTTGGATAATGTGTCCTGCATACAAAGTGCTCATCCATGTTAGCTTCCTTCCTGGATTTTATTGGGGTACAGAATAATTTATGTTTAGGACATCTCTGTTCACTGAGATGCTGTAGTATTTGTTTTTAACTTTCCAGAGGGTATGTATGCTAGCCAGAGAGAGGCAGGTATACAGGGAGATGGAGAAAGCATCCCCCCAATGGGGCATGGCCATGTTGCAATCTCTTCTCCGTTCCTACAGTCTGTTGGGATTTGGAGCTCACATGCCCAGTATGTTTTTCAAGACACCAGGGCTGGGATTCCGACTGTGATCAACCATGTGGCACCCAGCTCCATTAACCACTAGGCCACAGGGCTAGCCCTGGGACCCTACAGTTTAATAGGGGAAATAGGACAAGCCCAAGAATTAGGAAATTTTATAAAAAGTAAACAAATTAGTGCTGTGGATAAATTACAGTAAACTCGGAGATTTAAACTTTTAAGTGGGATTTTTTAAAGTTTATTATTTTTCTATGAGAGACACAGAGATAAGCACCCCCAACAGGGTCCTCGCTGTGATCTGCCCCAGCCCCAGCCAACCAAGGTCACAGTCACGCTTGTACGCATGACATGTAGAGAGACCTCAGGACCTTCCCGTATGACTTCAGTATTGTGGAGTGTTCATTGTGTTAATATACCCCTAGTGGCTGGCCTAAATGGGAATATTTAGGTGTGTGTATTTGTCTGTTCATTCCATCTAAAGGTATGTTCGGTGATCTGCAAAGCCAGTGTCCAAAAGTCTGAACTGAAAAGAGATGCTTTAGGGTGGGAAGGGGTGAGCAGCCGGGGACCGAGAAGGCTTCTGCATTTGCCTGTGACTCACACCTGAGTCAGGGACGAGCTGGAGGAGGGAGTGTGCAGGTGGCAGGAGGCGTCCCCTGGTAGATAACCTGCTTCTCTAGGCTATGGAAGCTGGGGACAGTGGCCACAGAGGTCAGTGGTAGACGTCATTCCAGGGCACCCCTTCTCCGGGGGCTCAGTTCTGCCGTGCTCGGTGTTGCCGCCACCTTCACTCTTGCAGGGCAGTCTTGCTGAGTGGGTGCTTCTCTCCCTTCTCATGATCCTCGGTCTGCGCGGGCCACACTGGGGATAGGAGGGAACCACCACCCAAACACACAGCACCTAGCCACATCTGTAAATAATGCTGAGTAGTCTGCAAAACGTTGTATAGGTCATCCGATTAGATCTTAGGCGGCCTTTGAGAGGTAGTAGGTGTTATAATTCACTCTTCCCCCAATTGTTTAATAGACGGAGAAACTATCACTGCTCAGTTAAGCCACACATCTTTTCTGCCGGACTGGTGTTTCCCCAAATTGCCAGAGCATAAGAATGACCTGATAGCTGTTGTTAAATAGGCGCTGTTCAGGCACGTGTGCGTGTGTGCCAAGATCCCGAGAGGAGCATGGAGGAGAAGGGATTGCGGCGTGGCCATCCTCCCTGGGGAGTGATTTCTCACTTTCTGACTCTCTGTTTCTCTCTTTCTGGTGAGCACACATGCCCTATGGCAAAAACCTCTCTAAAAAAAGAGGCGTTGTTGGGTATTGCCTTAGAAGTTGATTGGGTGGGTCTGGAGCCCAGATTTACACTTTTCCCTGTATTTCAGGGGAGTCCTGCCATCAGAGCCATTTGGGAAGGATCCTAGATCACACTGCTGGTGTATCCCAGACAGCTGGTTCTTGGGTTTCAGAATTTTTCCCTTCAAGTGTCCTGGTGAGGTCCCTCTTGCTACCTGGAGGCTGGCAGTGGTGAGGCACCCAGCAGTCTGGCTATCACCCTGGTGGCTAGTTCATCAGAGCCCAGTATTAGGAAAAGTGTGTGAGGCAGAGAGGTCAGAGCTGGGAGCACTCCCCAGGAGCCCATTCTAGATGTTTCCATCCCCAGAAAGTGATCCGTTCTGACACTCGGATCAGACAAGAATTACAGGTAATTTTCTCATATTCCTTTGATGCCATTCTGAGCAAAACTGGGATCATGAATTAAAAAGAAAGGAGACCATTGGTGAATTGGCAAAAGTAAACCATTGTTTAAAGCAAACCGATTATAAGGCTGGTGGTCACCACCATTTCCACCTCAGGGCTTACGATGGGGGTGAGCGAGAATCATCAGCTCTCCACTCTATTCTGTCTCTGCAAAGTTGGGTTTAAGATGCTGCCAGAATCTTGCAGAAGTTTGAAACTGACTTATAGGATGGAGAGTTTAAATTCACTAGAAGGGGTGCCCAGACTCTTAAAGTCCTACAAGAAAAAAGTGCCTGTTTTGTTTTTTCAGTAGGTGGTTTTTCTGCCAGGATCCTACCTCCTAGTCACTTAGGAAACCGATCCATAAAGCTCGAAGTTAGCAGCTTTCAACATCAGAGCGGAGCGAGGATCCTATTGAGCTGCTTTAATTGGCAGCGCGAGCATCAGCACTGCCCGAGGGTATTAATGACAGCTGTCTTATTTTTCCCGTGTATTACTGTTTACAGACCATTTCATGTGAGACAGTTATCTCATTTGGTCCTCACATCAACCCATCAACAGAGGCAGGGTGGGCTTTGTGGTCCAATCACACTGAATGTAAAACCGAGGTTGAGAAAGGTTAAGTGATCTGCCCGTAGTCAAATAGCTTTTAAGAGAATAGAGCCAGGCCTTCTAAAGGTCTTAGTAGGGTTCTTTCCAATTCCTGCAAGGCTGGGAAGGCTGGAACCTGGCTTATTCTCTTTATAGCCAAACAGCTGGTGAGAGGGGTCCCGATCATTGCTTGCTCGTGTCATGAATGTGCTGGAGCTATGAAGATAGATCTGCTGCTTCAGTCCCAGACATCATCCCTCGTGCTGTTCTAAGGGGGAGCTGGCCTCCCTCAAGGAGTCTCATTTTCAGTAACTGTGATTTGAGGGGAAAGGGCTCTGATGAATTTGTGTGTCAGGTTTTAGGGAAAGGGCTTTGAAACATATGTGCTTCAGCTTTTGGGCTGGAGCTGTGAAGATAGATCTGCTGCTTCAGTCCCAAACATCATCCCTCTCGTGCTGTTCTAAGGGGGAGCTGGCCTCCCTCAAGGAGTCTCATTTTCAGTAACTGTGATTTGAGGGGAAAGGGCTCTGATGAATTTGTGTGTCAGGTTTTAGGGAAAGGGCTTTGAAACATATGTGCTTCAGCTTTTGGCATTCTTCTTGAAGAGGAATTTCTGAGCCAAACTATACATTCATCTGAACCCAAGATTCCAGGGTTGGGTGGGAGCTCCTTAGGGGAAAAATATCTGGCATGTTTACTATATTTTGAGATCTTAGGTAGAATTAAGAGAGCCAGATATAGAGAGATACAAGGAAGATGAGAAAGATGTAACCGTTTTGCTACAAGTTTTACATTTCTTGGTGGGGCTGGCCACAAGGTAAATTTTTTCTGGTAAGAATCCATTTCTTCTAGGAGGGTTAAAAGAGACACAAATAGCTTCCCTCTCAACCTTGGCTGTAAGGAAAAAACCACTTTCCTAATGAAGGTATTAGACACTAACTATGCCTTGAGAAGTTTCCTTGTGAGAATGAAGAACAAGGGAATAGAAGAAACCATGAAACGGGTGAGAGTCTGCTTCATGAGAGCCACCTGCCATTATTGTTGTGCCTTGTCTGTGACAGCCCAGCTGAAATGTTTGTATTCCTGTTGCCCATGATTATTTTGTTCTGTGTCAGACCTACAAAGTGAATTTGGTTGTAATGTGTTAAGCTAAATAAAGCATTTTCACCTACGTTTATTATCAAGAATTTATAATCAACACAACTGTGTTTAATTGTGATCTGACTTTAATGGCCTCAGCAGG